GTTCTGTCGTTAGCGTGGTAATATGTTATAAAATTCTTGTGTCACAATGTTAGTTACCATACACCTCCAAAACGACTTGATCGATTTTTATAAAATTTTATACACATACTAGCTGTCGCCCGCGACACTGTCTGCGCGGGATTAAAAGTAGATGTTGGCCGATACTCAGACCTACTTAATATGCTCACAAAATTTCATGAGAATCGGTGAAGCCGTTTTGCAAGAGTATGGGAACGAAAATTGTGACACGAGAATTTTATATATAAGATTTAGTAGGTCTGATAATCGCTTTCAATCTATTCTTAATCGGGGACGTAGTCGCAGGCTGCTAGTTGTCGTATAAAATTTTTACTGTTCCATTTTCATTTCTAAGAAATAAAACACGCCTCGTCTCGGTGTGTGTCGCGTTAAATTTCCAAAGACGTTAAATTTCACAGGAAAGTATTGAAGTAGGTCACTGGTTCATTGCATTGTTTGCAGTTTTGTTTGCTGTCTCAAGTATGGCGTCTGATTTACGATGTCCGTTAGGTTTATTGTATTGTATTTATGTACCAGCACCGTTTTGGTACTGGCTGTAACACATCTCTTTTGTTTTTTCTCTTTTAATAGTAAAGTTCCATAGAAAGGTATTTTTAAATTATTCAAACTTTCGTGAGATATTATACTAAACTGATATATAAACACGGCTAAACACTGACGTATATTCGTCGCCAGTGAGCGACGGGCCGCGTCCGCGAAATAATACCAGTACCACTCATCCTGAAGCAGGGCCCCCAATGGGCTTGAAACTAGTCGGTGCCGCCACCGGACGAATATACGTGAGTGTTTAGCCTTGTTTATATATCAGTTTAAAGGTATTCTATACGTATCTATGGGTATTTACTTAAAAAAATGGACTTGGAAATATTAATTTCAGAAATTTGTAAATTATGTTTGGCTTCTTCTCAACTAAAAAAAACAGACAATAACGTGCAACATTCTGACATTGATTTGTTAGGTTAGTTATAGTATAGTGGATGGATGGATGTATGGATGTTTGTTATAAGGTTTCTCCAGAACGTCTAAACGGATCCTGATGAAATTTGACACAGATGTAGAATATAGTCTGGAAGAACACCTGAACTATTATTTTTTTTTTGATTCCGCACGGACGGACTCACGGGCGTCATTTCGTATTTACATACATTTCAGCTTATTATTTTTTTAGTAATTACTAATTATTCTATTCAGCATACGTTCAGCATTTATAATTCAATTTGAATAAGTCTAATCTCTTAATTTTAACAGAAATTATGTTTACCATAAATTCAACTTTAACAATGATAAAACGGCAACATTTTAATTCCAGCTTTCGTCACAATTTTTAGTTTTCTAGACAATCGTAATGCCTAAGCAGCTCATGGTAGTTCATTTGTTACTTTACGGTTTTTTTTACGATATTGAACCAGTCTCAATAAAAACAATCGTAGCCTAGACGCGTAAAAAACTCAGAACATAAAAAATACCAAAGCAATTTTTAGTAAAAGAGTCAATAAAATTGGATCACGTTTATGTATAATACATAATTAGTTAATATAAAAATCACAATATATTTTAATTGTGTACTATTATGCTTGCTCGAGAGTTGCATTTTTAATTTTTAAATATATTTTTAATTCTTGTATCATAAATTAGCAAACGACCGAACACCGGCCACCTGTAATCGCTAAAATAGCGAAGCGACCGTTGCCCATAGACATACGCAATTGCATATGCGTTGTCTACAATTAAACGACGGAGGAGGGGACGCACAGAAAGAGAATGTTTTCCTTTCCCATGCAACTTCTAATCCGGAAACCCATTTCCACTTTCCATCGTTTCCTTCTAAGAAAAAGGGGGAGGGGGAAAGAGGACTAAAAGTGTGTCAAGATATTTCAGGACACTAACTATTGGAGATTTGTTGTGATCTGCCTACCCCGCTTGGTAATGTGCGTCAGTTCTTATTTATCCTAATTAACAATTTACAATATATATTTCTGTTCTTATTAGAAATCAGAATTAAATTAATATTTATAACGTCATCCAGTAATAGTCATTAGGTAAGTTCATCAAGATCCGGCCGCAGTGTTTCTTCCGCAAACATTGCTTACCGAGCATTATTTATTCAACTTGCGTCTTATTAAATTGCGGCGACTTGTCGACGAGGGAATGTATAAAGAATAATCTGTTAGCTTTAGATAATAAACTGTTTAGTTATAAACTTATCTTGAAGTCTTTGATGTTTTTTGTGTTCACTGTGTTCTACGTGTATGCCAAATTTCATGGAGATCACGAGATACCTTCAAACAAACATCCATCCATCCATCTTATTATTCGCATATATAATATTAGTAAGATAAACAAATGTTAAACCATACCATTATTGAAATATTAATGTTTTGTTTTATACTAAAAGGTGGCAAATGAGCAAGCAGCCCCATGAGTTCGCCGTAATGCCAAAGCGACCGCTGCCCAGACACCCGCAATTGCAGATGCGTTGTCTACCATTAATCGTCGGAGGAGGACGCACAGAAAGAGAATATACTCCTTCCTGCCCACCCTTTCCCATTAGAAAGGAGAGGGAAGGAAAAGATGATTAAAATTAGGCATCCGACATCAAATATTACCATCTGTTTTTGTAATATATGTCTTTAGATATTAGTCTTTCGTTGTCGGATGAAACCCATAGATTGCTTGAAATAGAGTTAATAATAACGTTATTGGTATCATGTTCAGAATTTGAGAACAAAGTTATAATCGTTGTCAGTTATCAATACTCTATCGATCAATTACGTCCGTCCGACGGAGAAACTTTTGCCGTTAAAAGAAGTTTACTTTATGAAGCAAAACTGTTTCATCAAAGCATCATACTTTGTTGAAACAATTCTATCGACACTATTCCTTATTTAATAGCTGCGAGCTATCGAGGCTTTGTTCTAAATTCGATTCATAGTTTATCAACTTATTATTTTACACAATTTAAACTTTTTTTTAAATAAAATAGGAATTTAACGAATTTGAACACTAACCAGTACAATGCCAGTCTGTTTGACATGCTTACTAAATACTTATGTAATTAATTAAACACTTGAAATTAATTTAAAGAAATGTTAAGAGCGCATTGTTTAACACCTCAAGCGCCATGTATAACTTTTTGTCACAAAGTGTATTCAAAAGTATACACATTTTTGTATTTAAACACATCCCAACAAAAAAAATTTAAGATTACTTAGGTTTTGGCGCTAAGGGTGTTAAAAGTAATATGTAAGATTAAAAATAAGTTAAAATATATCACAAGATTTCGTATGGTATGTGAGAATCGAGATTAACAATTAGGTCCATCAAAATAATTTATTCATTGGCGATAATTTAAATTGTTATTGTTTGTATTTGATCCACCAAACATTGTTACGATTACCTTGAACGTAGCCTCAAGGGAACATTTACAGCTTTTACTAAATTGTTTTCAATTTCCTCGTCGAGTTTAATGATCGTTTTACGCCTCTGTTACACCTTTGTAATATCAACGGGACATTAAAGCTAATATATGATACAAACATAAGCTTCCATTAAATTTTTCATTGTCTACAACAGCAATGTGACGATTTTTTTAATGTTATTATATTTTTTTATTGAATTTGATTCTGTAGACCTGATAAAAATATAGTACATTTCAAAAATAAATGTTCATGAACCCGCGCCATATGGAGACGCCATTAGCCGTCATATCGAATAAAGTGTTTATAATCTCATTTCTAAATATCACAAAATATTTCTTAGTTTAATCTGTAATTTACTATTTTTGATAGTTTGAGATCATTGACTAGCACATACTTGTTTATAACACAATAGCAGTCGCCCGCGATTCCGTCCGCACGGAATTCAAAAAAAACTTGAGCAGTAGTCTATGCGTTGTTCCAGACTATGTTCTTCATCTATGCCAAATTTTCAAACAAACTTCTATCCATTCAAACAATAGCATTTATAATATTAGTAAGAAGTAAGATAGTAAACATATGAATTATAACCACGCTCTTAGTCTATGGTGACAACGCAAATATTTTGTCAGTGTCGAGTGCATGGTCGCCTGGTCGATACGTTCTCGAACGATTCTGTGCGAGTAAGTACATGCCATATATCTTATCGATTAAATTGCCTGTACTCTGGACCTGAACATTATCTTCCTTACAACGAAGTAAATCTGTAAAGTGTCTTGATGAATAATAATGTAGTTTACATACAAGATGTTACGGTCTTATCTATTGTAACTTACTTAAGATAAAAAAATTAGACAATGTTTCAACATACGTCAACCTTTTTATACTGTGACTATAATGGCCAGCGCGGATTTAACAAATCGTGACCGTTGAAAACATTATTATGCGTAGGTTTACGAATTGAGTTTTATGGTGCTACTTATGGTGAAACATATAACCACTTTGACGTTTAAAATATCCTTCACCGGCGTTGAAAGGGTTAAAACACTTGTCTAACTATATTTTTAGGGTAAAATATTTAATATTTAAATAATGTACGGAGCTCACAATTCCCGGGGTCGACTCACGTTTGACCGGTCTCGTTTTCTGAGCACATTGAATACGGGTGCATTATGTAAATGTACATTGTTCTAGGAAATCTTTGAGTAATAAGCGATATAGCGGTTGATAATAACAAGCTACTGGAACTACGCGGGATTGAGTTTGCATAATTATGCATATGCAAGTTTTGCATACATACGAGTATAGACGATTTTAGAATACAAAATCAACAATAAGACGACGGTGAAATTTTAAAGCAAACATACAAAATTATTAAAGGATATTAAAACTAGTTGTCGCCCGCGACTCCGTCCGCGCGGATTAAAAAAAATAACCTATTGGTCGCAGCGTAATGTCATATAGCCTAAAGCTTTCCAAAAATCAAAATGTTTCAAATCGGAGCACTAGTTCCTGAAATTGGCGCGTTTAAACAAACAAACCCACCCGCTTTATAATATTAGTATAGATTCTCGTCTAAAATGAAGATTTGCGTACTTTAAACTCAAAGATAAAACGAAGCAATATAGTCTTATTATAAAGTGTTATGCTAAAATACACCATTTATCTAAAATTACAACTCATGTTTTGAACATATTGTTCAGTTTAATATTTTATCACTGTCATGTGTTGAAAATCTCACTGCCATCATTTTGAACGCTACCACGTGAGAAAATGTATCATTTGTTTCTCTAATCTTAACGTCCGATACTAAAGATAATTTTTAAGGAATAAATTTTACTTAAATATTACTGAAAATTTTAACTTAGATACATAATTTTAATAAATAATCAACAGTCTTAGTTCTAGTAAAGATAGGAAATTTTATTTTAGATCGTATTTTAGCTTATTACACGTACCCACTGAGAGGCTCGGAAGCCTACTGTAGTATATGCATAAACGTAGTGTTGTTTGTCTCGAGCGTACACGCCATAAGTACATGCTGGAGAGAGGGGACGTCAGTCGATGACAGACCTTTGAGCCGGCAACACACGTCGGTACGTGAACGAGCCAAATATAGCACAACGATTGCTACACCTAGCCTCAGAGGTGACTAGGCCATAGCCAAACACGCCGGCATAGTGCCGGGTTGGTTGAAATCACATATATCTATGAATTTCTTCACTGATATATGTAGGTTGCATTACGATGTTTTCCTTCACCGTAAGAACGTCGGATAAATGTACATATGAATAGATAAACACAATTATCCATGGCGTGATTCGAACCTAAAACCTCCAGATTACAAGTACTTAACTTCTGAGCCACCGACCTTACTCGCTTAAAGTTTATGTCTGTTTATGAATATTCCGTGATTGAAGCATAATATTTCATACTAACGCTTTGAATAAATACAGTTGCAGTCTTAGTCTAATGGATGCAATTGCATATGCATATTTTATGCAAACTATATTCCCAGTTACTACCGATTGTAGAATTAACAACTCACTATATTCAGATTTACCAGATTAAAGTTAATTTTGTTCTGTGGTTTGTATTACATATTAAAGAAGTTAAAGTTTGTGAGTTAATGTATTTCGTTGTCTCTGTTTTCAGAAATTCATTGAACTTTAAAAAAAATCGAAACTTCTAGTAAGTGCCTTTAAAATTAGTAAACTTTATAATTATGAACATTACCGTTATCTTACTAATGTTCTAAATGTTTAAATGTTTGTTTGAAAGTATCTCCGGAACAACTCAATGGTTTTGAATGAAATTTGTCACAGACGTAGAACATAGTCTAGAAGAATACATAGATTACTTACTACCTTTTTTAACTCCACGCGGACGGAGTTACGGTCGACAGCTAGTATTACCTGTAAAGATTTAAAACTAGTTATATCGTTTAGTGTTGCGTGTAATAATCCTCTGATTAAATTTTCGTTCCGGATTAAATCCGGTCTGATAATCGATTCAATGTTTATGTGCGTTAACGTATGCATCTAATTTTACAGTTCACGAGGCTTTACTTAACGGGGAATAGACCCTTCAGTGGAAGGTAAAAGCTTAAGGCTATTAAATACCAGCTTAATTAATTCAACGTAGATTTCTCTCAATAAATCTAAAAAATATTCTCTTTTTATTAGTCTCCACTAAAAGAGAGAGTGCAGCAGTATGACATAACTACCAGAAATCGAAACAATGTTACTTCAATGTATCGCAAATATATGTGTTAAAATAATTTAAAAGCAAGCAAGTTTTATTAGTAAATAACAGAAGGCGTGCTACGAAACATTTTTTTTTGCAAGAGCTTTCATTTCTCGTTAGCGTCCATGCGTTGAGCGATAGACCTTACTTTTCCTTACCGCGTATTATACTTGTCAACTGAATTCCCGCACGACGCGTGCTTTAGATCGATTGCTCATTTCCAATTGTCGCTAATCAGTATACGGGGTTCGGCACATGTTGAATAACTACCGAGTTATCGATTAATTAAAATGTACCTTAATAAATATGACTGGTCGATGATAATCGTCGTGCGAGGACTTATTGACGAGCACAATGCGCGGTAAGAAAAGTAAAGATTATCGCCCAAGGCATGCGGGCGCTAACAAATAATAAAAACAGATTTCACATGCGACCGCAATGGCATACGTCAACAAGAAATCTCTCGCACCACGTATGCTGTATAATGACCAAGTTATAGACTAAGGAAAATTGTGTTCACTTATTTTAAGTTAGTACGATATTTTTATAATAAACTGACATGTTGCAGATAAAAATATGTAACCTGTAACAGTTCGTGCACATTTTCTCACGGGACAACATCATATGTTGTAGAGAGCTTTTGTACACTTGACAATGATAAAATATAAAGTACAGTGATAGAAAAATATGAAGTATTTTGTGTGATTTTTCCTTAAAATAGAGAAATAATACAAATAAAGAATTTCCAAGCGAAATAAATCTGTAAGCTTTGAGGATTTTGAAGGAAATCCCAGAGAAAATTGACTTCTTTAGTAATTTCAAAAGCCTTTAATCTTTTTAGCTTATTGATTTTATGATGATTCGGAATAAGATCTTTGAAGTACTGATTTTTATATTCATACATACGATTCTAGATTTCTATGTAAATTATTCTGATGCGAGAAATTGAAAAAGCTGCCTGTAGTCCCACAGCTGAGACTGTAATGGAATTGTTAGGACATGTCGTCAGAGCCGGCAACAGATGTCAAACTACACGAATGTTAGCAAAATATTTTTATTCACAATTTCAATGTTAGTGTTAAAAATTATTACGGTATCGTTAATAATTTTATTACGTTAATATAAGATAATTAATAGGATAGCGTCCTGGGTTCGAATCCCGCCATGTACCAATGTATTTTTCGATTTCCGATTTACATAAGTACATTTATCCAACGTTCTTACGGTAAAGGAAAACATCGTGATACAACCTGCACATATCTGAGAAGAAATTCAAAGATATGTGTGAAGTCAACCAAACCGCCCTCGGCCAACGTGGGTTGACTATGGCCTTATCACCCTTTAACTTAGGGTAGGCTCCGAGTCCTTCGGTGGGGTCGTATAGTGAGCTGATGATGATGAAAGTAATATTTAGATTTTTTTTTGTATAGGAACTTTAATTTATTGTTGGTACATCAGGACGTGTTACTACGGGGAAGAAAAAGTAAATGCAGATTAAACTAATGCATGTAAGGTCAACACTATCTCACAAAACCTAACGTGTGTAGCCAGCATATGTACGTGAGAAAAAAAATTGTCTTGAATTGACTGTTTTAATTACTTTATAAGATCTTAAATATAAATTATATTATGATATAATTTATATTCATGTTTCTGTCTTTACCAACATAAAGCAACATAATTAGACAAAGTTCTAACATTATTCGACATTTGTAAATTCAAGTGAAATGTTGTAAGTTAATTACGAGTAAGCCACCGACAATTCGCGGAAAGATACGCAACGTGGAACAATAATAGCGCCGCTGTTTCAATTAACTATGATGTGTTAATTAAATTGTTTAGAACATCGCTTTGACCAGAATATTGAACGTAAATAAACGAATTATTTCTGGATGTTTTACAAAGGTTAAGCTAAAATTTATTTTGAACGGTATGGAAATGTTTGCATTTTTTATCCCTTTTTTTGAGACCAAACCTACGCCAATGTTACTAGTCTCCATCCATCATCCATTGTATACATAATTTGCATACGAAAGAAATAATTTTTAAAAGTTTGACATCTAAGGAGCAATAGAATCTTTAAGCTTGTATTTTTATAACTAGATTTGTCATGAAAATTTCGGTACAAAATATATGCTTGCAATATTCAAAATGCTTGAAAGATTTATGTTGTACGCCACTCCGTCTACCCCGGTTAGCTCGGGTAGTGTCTGCAAGCTCACGCTAATATTTTGTCACTGTCGAGTGCAGATGAGCTCCTACCTTCACTTTAAACGCTTCAACGTGAGAAAGTGCACAGCGTTTGTCTTGTCAATATAAATTGCAACGCTATTGAAGCTAAACCGAATTTTGTGTTATAATAGAAATCCGAAACTCCGTCGAAAATCACAACAAAAGCTGGCTACCAAGTAAGGTTTCTAAAATCATTATCAGTGGAAGTCATCGTAGCCAATAGAGTTTTATAATCCAGTACAGTGTATTTATTTTAACGTGATATTCCATTACACTAAACCTAGTTTGTTATCTAAACTAATATAATAAAAGATTGTGGTGCATTTGAGCCTTCTATCTAGAGTTCGGATTTTAGAAATCACGTGAAATTATACATCCACAAATATCAAGGGAGATTAAATAGTATTCAATATTATACAAAAAAAAAACAAAGAAAAAACACGAAATAACAAAAAATGAGGCGGTAACAACCACAGAATGCATATTTGTGAAATCTCATGTTTCAAACTTTTTACTTAATACAGAAAATGTAATAAAATTATGACAGGAGCGCAATACGATCATCAACCCTCTTGAGGCAAATTGGAATCAATTTGCCTAAATGCATAAAAGTTCCCCCCAGGGGCAATATTTATGAAAATTGAGCTTCCCTCTACTGCTCATGTTTATTTATTGGGAATTGGAAAACCAATTTTACATCGTAGATAAGTATGGAATGAAAATCTCTTTATCGACATTTACCTTGCTTCCTTGGATGTGAACTGGGTAATTGAGATATTTACTCTTGTGAAGTGAATTTGTCACTTCATTAGCAAATTCCACTTCACGTAAAATTGTTCATTTCGTTATTGTGTTATCATAATTTTAGCGCACTAAAACATAGAGCGATTCTCTGTATTTTTCTTTTGGTATTATGGCAAAATATTGTGGCACACTCACACACACAAACTGCATAAATTTTAACCTATTTGAGACCAAAAATAGTAGAAAGCACTACCTACTGTAACCTAGGTCCTCACTTACCACAGAAGGCGTCTCGATCAATAAAGATGTATTCATCTACTTAAAAAATATAAAATTCTATGTTAAATGTAACGAACTTAGTAAATCGTTTCAAACAAAGTATATTCTACTTTGATAAATGTTCGTCCATTAATTCCTTATAAAGTCGAATTTCATTAATTTAGAACATCTACGTTAAAACGATCTAAAAGCACCTCCAAGCTCTATTGAATCCTTTTTCTTCTACCTTCAAAGGATCATTAATCATTATTTAGTTTGACGTTAAAAGCTCCCTACTTTACTCATTTAGTATTTACCTATCTATTGTTAAATTTTTCGTATTTTCATACGAATTTTATTAAATATATACCAATCATTACAAACTCTACATACATATTTTTGATGTATTCACACTAAAAGTAATAATTACCATAACAATGAAAATCGAAACAACCATACCAGTCAAAAATTTAGTTACATCTAAAACGCAACAAAAAAAAGAGCTTAGTGTTTTGTAATTCATGATGAATCCAAGAAAAGCGTTCTTTATTATTACTACATTCTTTATTCAAATAATACACAAAACTTAAAAAAAAGTTACAATGAACGTCCGCTACAATACCTCTTAAAAGCGTCTTAACGATTGTAGTTCTTCAATTTTGCTCAGAAAACTTTGCCAAGTTGAGCATTTTAAGTTTATAATCCCTTTAAGTGGTTCTAGTATTTGTCAGATAAGATTATTACTTCAATTAAGCAATTTAATTAAAAGACTTTGATCTATTTTTTTGTAAAAAAAAACAGAGACTACTATAGTGCAAGTGTCAAAGGTAATGGAATTTTAGTCAATAATGACCGGTCATTTGTGTGTTCTTGTATATGAACATGTGTTTTAATTAATTCTTACAATGTTGTGACGTTAAGATTAGGATATCTTTGTCATCTTACTAATATTAGAAATTCGAATGTTTAGATGGATGGGTGGATGGATGGATGTTTGTTTGAAGGTATCTCCGGGACGGCTGCATGGATCTTGCTGAAATTTGGCATTCATGTAAAACAGTTTGGAAGAACACATAGGCTACTTATAAAGTTTGTTTTTTAATCGTAGGCGACAGCTAGTATATTTATAAATCTAGTATACAATACTATTATTCAATTGAATTTCACATAACTTTGAAAGTTAATACAGATGTGAATATTTCATGCGGCATTGACGGCAAATGATGTCCTTATCTTTAGGCGGCTTAGCTTGAGTAACCGCACCGCGTTAGCTCAGCCTATCTAAATTACAGGCTCGTCCGTCTCTCGGCGAAACTTAGTATAATCTTAGTCGTAGGAATTACGCATCTAAGCCCTTTGATAATATTAGTTTATTAGTCTCAAATACAAACAATTACAGTGAAATATATTCTAGGAATACAAGCTAGAATAATTTACGTCGAAAACGAAATAATCTGCTAAAATTAACTGCTTATTAACAAAAAAATATCGGAAAGCGAAAGAAAGAAAAAACACTTATTTGTAATTCAAGATTGGTGTTTAGGATTAAAACATGATGTAGATTTTTTGTTCTTTATTTAAAATGACACATTTCGCTTAGGCTAAGTGTTTATCAATTTTCCGAAACTCTCGGCTAAAATATAAATAACTTTTTTACCTTCAGCAATAAAGAGGGGTCGGGCAATTACTTTAAAATTCAGGTTGCGAACCATTCCGACAAAAAATGTCTTAACTGCAGGCCGTCTAATACATAAGAACGTGCTTATTGCCAACCCGAGATAATAGTTTAAGTTTCTTTGGGTTTTCTTATAAAAAGTACGATATATGTTTTATTGAATATTTTTTAGGGTTCCGTACCTCGAAAGGAAAAAAACGAAACCCTTATATCGGATCGCATTGTTTCCTGTCCGTTTGTCTGTCAAGACCCTTCATTTCTCGTGATACAAACGCAAACAAGAAGTAATAAGATTTCGTTTTTTTAAATTGTAGTTTCTTAAACAAATTAGTACAATCTTGAAAGAAAGCTTTTACCAGTAGTTTTAAAGGTAAATATTTTTTCCTGTACGTCATTGTAACTCATAATAAAAGTTTAAACTGCATTAAAACTTTAAAATAAATAGATATCTTGCAGAAACGAGTAGAAAATTCAATAGAAAAGCTATTCGAAAGTGAAATTGAGTGTATACAAAAGTGGATGTAACTTAAGTCATATTGAGCTTTTAAAGAGTGAATTCAAAAGTAACTTTTAAGCGACGACGATCAAGAGAGGATTTAAACATTTATTGACTCTATTATCAAACATTGCTTAATCTCATTGGTTTAATCTGTCATCTATGTCTTGGGCTATTAATTATAGCTGTTTTCGTAAGATTGTATACTCCTTACTAATATTATAAATGCAAAAGTAACTCTGTCTGTTTCGCTTTCACGCAAAAACTACGGAACCTATTTAAATGAAATTTGATATATAGAGAGTTTAGAGCCTGAGAAAGGACATAGGATACTTTTAAACTCGAAAAAGGGTTTTAAAGCGTGGGTGGAAATTTGGAAGTATCGTCATTTCACAGTTAGAAGTTTGAAACTTATTTTGTAGGTTGTTAATTGGATTGAATATAACATTTAGGGATTGTTTCATCAAATTCTTGTCTATTTTATTTTGTTATGGGCTATTAATTTTAGCAAGTTTCTGTAAGATACAATAAATTATAAATGTATGGACACAATGTCATCGTATCGGGTACTTACGGGAACAAAGCTGACAAAACGCGATAATTCATTATGCTAACGAGACAGGCTGCCTTCGACGGTGATGGATTATAACATACCCTCGCATAAATATGAACTAAACCATCTCGCATATAAAAAAATAATTTGTAAACTTTGCTCACATAAGAACAAAGTCTATTTTATTGTCTTTTTTATTTAACTTCATAAAAATTACAGCTAAAATATTTTTTGCAATAAAAAAAAACAGTCATGTAAAATTTTTTTTATTTCCTTTTTGCATTAGATATTATGTTTATACATCCTGTAGTTAGATTGTGCAAATTATGCGTAATTAAACGCGAGATAGCTCTATCGAAATGTATATAAAAGTTTGTTATCTCTATTTTTCTCAAGGAGAATGAAAGAGATGACGATATATTCTTATACGAAGTATTTCTGTCAGAAGACTGTGCTTGTCAAATGTTATGACAATTTAGTTTATTATATTATGTCAATAGATGGCGGAACACATTGTTAGATCGCGGTATCAATTTATTTAGTATATTTATCGACTTGCCGATCGCATTTCATTAAAGTTGACTCTCACCAAGATATAACCAGTGTTTCATTGTGACTACTCGATACATCTCCAGTGAGAGGGAGACTTTTTGACTGCTTTACAGTGCTTTAGTACTAATTTGCTAGATTTAATTGATTTCTAGTTTCGCTTCTTTGTGTTTTAAACTTACATGACGTAATAATTGCTTCTTATAATAGAAAGATTGGTTGCAGTTCTTGCATTTATGCGGTCGTTCACCTGTATGTACGATTTTATGTCGTTTCAATTGCATTGATGTTGGAAAGCATTTATCGCACTGATCACACGTATAAGGTCTTTGACCTGTATGTTTTCTCATATGTATCTTTAAGTAGGACTTCGCCTTGTATTTAATACCGCAATCTTTGCAACTAAATGGTCGCATCTCTGTATGCCAGAACTTATGCTTTTTTAGTGAAAGTTCAGATGCGAAATATTTAAAGCAAATATCACATTGGAACTTTTTCTCTTTGTTTACGTACTTTAGATGGTCCTTCAAGGACGCCGGCGACTTGAACGTTTTATTGCAGTGAGTACATTTCACTGGTTCTTTTATATGCACTGTATTAAAGTGTACCTTTAAGAAAAGTTCAATGTATTAGAATTCTTATAAATGCGAAAATTTAGAGACATGGATGGATGTTTGTTAAAAGGTATCATAAGAACAGATGTAGAACTTAGTCTGCAAGAACACATACTCTATCAAGTTTTTTTTAATACCATGCAATCGGAATCGCGGGCGACAGCTTGTTTTAAATAATTTTAATTTAACTAATTAGTTGTGTTAAAACAATATTTTTGCTCAGAAATTATCTATTTACCTTTAAATACGATGCTCTTTTAAATGCTTTTCCACATATGTGACAAATGTTCTCTCTTACATTTGCATGTTCTGCCATGTGCGCCTTAATTATACTCCTAAATAGAAACCTGCAATTTATTTAAAATCTATACATATTGATAAAATTGAAGTGTCTCTTTTCTTATATCATAAGGTGGCAAAAGAGCGAGCGGCCACCTGAAATCGCTGAAATAGCGAAGTGACCGTTGCCCATAGACATACGTAATTGCATATCCGTTGCCTACTTTTAATCGACGGAGGAGAGGATGCACAGAAAGAAAATATTTTCCCCTTTCCATGCATCCTCTCATCCGGAAAGTCCACTTCCACTTCCCATCCTTTCCTTATAAAGAAAAGGATGGGAAGTGGAAGTAGACTAAATTAGGCCTCCGGGACGCACAGTCACCAGACTACGCGGAATAGCTTCCACTTGACGCCTGTCTTCAATGTGGTCGTGGTATTTCACCGGACGAGCCGGATTCGTGCGAAGATGTTAAAGCGGGCTCTACCACTGTTAAATCTGTCTGTATGTAACATCAAGAAAAAAAATCATATTTAGTACACGTGATGTGTAAGAAAAACCAATTTTTTAAATTCGCGTTCTTTCCGGGTAATCTCCGGTACGGCTGGACCGATTTTGATGGGACTTGGACCGGAAGGTAGCTGATGCTATAAGCTACTTTTTAATTCTGCTAACGAAGTCGCGTACGACAACGAACAAAATATTTTTGAGTAATATATGAAATAATTTCACTTTACTCATGTTTAAATTCTAACAAAATAGAGAAAACATGATAATTAGAGTAATGGCCGTCATGACCATTTGTATTTTTTTTTAAATTGCGTCGTTCAAATTTGATAAAATATACATACTTATTTCCACAAAGATCGCAAATATATTTGCCTTCTTTATGAAGTCTTTCATGATTTCTCCATGCTGTGTACGATCGGAAAGTTTTTTGACAAACGGAACATAGTCCGCCATCTTTTTTTAAATGCACCGATCTATAGTGGAACTGCTGTGTCTTGATAGTTGAAGTTGTTTTATCGCAAATATGGCAGATTCTATTTGCTGATTTTGAGAAAAATACGTACGGCTGATGAACTGATCTGGAAATAATATTTTTACTTTCGATTTTAATTTTAAATCCTATTTACATTATTTTAAACTGTATGATACTATATTTGAAATAAGTTATCAACAAAATTTACGATTTATAAATTTGTCTAACATCTAAACCAAAAAAAAACCTGTTCACGAATCCTTAAAAATGTCCCTTGTCACACAATTGAAAAGAAAGCTATTTATAACTCTACAAAAATTTAACTACAATACAAAAATCTTGATCCAAACAATAATCAAGTAAATTTGGAGGTAGTGATCCTCAGCATTGTTCCTTTTGGATATAAAGGAGCCTATTCACCCATCTCATTGTACTATGGAATACCTACGCAATTTTCCACAATCCTGTTGAGGACACTCTACAATCTTGACATACGATTTTACTCTGAGAAAAACAATTTTTTTATTCAATTCGTATACTTGATGATTCTTAAGATAAACAATACTTCTTAAAAAAAAACTATAAATAATATCCCAGAATAGCTTCATTCAGAGCTTTCATTCTGTTAGAACAACTTTTGAGTATTTTTAAAAATTAAGCAAAAAAAAAATCGGATTAAAAACGAAGTTATTTCAAGAACATCTGACCTATATATGCTATGACATCACAATATGGCGCAGGTTCACATACGTTCTTTATTTGTAACGCATTGTACGTGATACAAATAGTTGGAAAAATCTAACCTATGTCCAAACAATTCTGCAAGGTCCCGTCCCACATAGCTGCATAGTTTGCAACACAAATCATTTTTGTTCCAATGTTCGCTTAAATGTACCACCAGATCTTCACGACGTGATGATGAAAAACGACATATACCTTAAAATCGAAACAATATACATAATTTAAACACAAAGATATAGATACTTAACTATCTTTATTTTTACTAATATTATAAAGGCGAAAGTCCATCTGGATGGAAGTTTTTTTTTTAATTCGCGTTAGTCTTTTTAAACGGAGTCGCTAACGACAGGTATTTTTTTTTATAAAAAAAAAGAATCGACCAAACGGCCAAATTTCTTCCCTAAAATAGTGAATAACTTACACAAGAAGTTAAAAGGTTATAGATTCGTTACCTATCTTCAATGAACGGAGGAGCAGAATAAAGAAAGAGGATAAAAGCATTATACAGAGTAGGGGGAGCCTCAAATATTACATACTCCCTTTTTAATTCTTTCCTTTGAAGAGGATGTGAAAGGAAACAGGTCAGGAATTTGGCATCCAGCATACAAAATAACCCATATATTACATCTCATCGTATACTTACCACAAAATAATTTATTAGAATCTTTCTGTGTTTTTTCTTTCTTTTCAATAACTGGACGAGGCCTATATTTTTCAGTAATAACTGCTTTTGTAATGTCTTTATGCTTGAAACATGTTTGTTTCATATGTTTCATAAGACATTTTGTTTTCTCTAAAATAATTATATGAAACTTAAAAGATATACTTTTCTTGGTAGTAGATAAATTAAAAAAGAAAAACTACAAAACTAGAATAACTTTACTGTTATGACAATCCATACAAGAACAGAAACAGTTGCCCAGTTGAAAGAGGATATGTGCCCTTTTTATGTGTACTCTGCAAAATCCACCACTCCTTTCCTTTCCTTATAAGTAAAAAGTGTGAAGAGAAAAAGGCCTCCAGCACACACTCATCAGACGAAATGTTGAGTTACTTCCAATTTACATGTTTTCTGTAATGTCATGGTATTTCACCCTTATAACAGGCTCAATTGTGCAAAATATGTTAACCTATTTAAATAAAAATATACTTACGATATTGTTTCTTACATTTGCTGCATTCTAAAACTTTTATTAACTCCGCACCTTGCTCAGTATTGTTTTTTTCTTCATACATTATCTGTGTATTGGTCATGTTTTTTTGTCTACAAGATTTTCGGATAGCCTTTTCTATTATATCTTTATCATTGTTTTGTGACTCCATATCTTTTATATTGAAATCATGATTGCTTTCTTTATTATCACTTGAATATTCATTTTGAATTAAATTTAATATATCTAAGTCACAATTACTTTCTACATTCACTTCTTCAATTGTAGATATATTCTAAAAAATTTTTACAAATACATGTAATAAATATTTGAAGTTGAATTTTTGTATAACAAAATATCAATCTCGGAGAATTCAGATATGACAGCTGATAGAGATGAACATAGTGTTAAGAAGAAAATCAGAGACTGTGCCGGTGTAATGGCGCAATACTAGCCTTATTAAAATATCTATGTTTATGTCCCCTCACTAATTATTCGGACACTTGACTTAGCAACAAAAGCGCGCCAAAGGAGTCTAACTAATAATGTCTAAAAGTAGGAGTAGCACATGATAACTCTCCGTAGGGATAAAGGCTGGTTGATGATGAAAATATCAACCTTGTAGCAGCTATATGATATTAAATATATTTAGCCAGAATTAAAAGTGTAACTTCATTAATTAAATGAGAATAAACACACATATTTTACATGTTGGCAGTTATAAATTTCTACAGCCACATGTTTTTTATATGAAGAAAAATAGAACTAATGTAAAATATCTCAAAACTGTGCAATGATCTATTCTTCATGTTGTTATCATATCTGGTATCATGAATCATTGTCTTAACCTATATGCATTTTCATCTAAACCAACCAAATCGATAATAATAAAGGCACCACACACAACTAGCCTAGATATTTTTGTGGAACTACTAAAAAAAAATATTGACATGAAATATGAAACAAATCATAGTTACATTTCTATTGTTTGCTATAGATTTTAATATTTCATGGGATCTGTGACATTGTACTTTGAAATCGGCAAACTTCTTGACAATTGTAGCACACGTCTGACACAATATTTGGTACATGTCATCAGGTTCCACCTACAAATAACAAATTTATGTTAGAATGCAGCAATTACAGTAAATAAGCAAATCTTTATATAAGAGTGACAGTTGTGAATAAATCTTATTGGTTTTTAAGATTATGACTAGGATATGACACTGTTTTTGATAATTTACACCTACATTAACATGATTTGGGGAAAATTGTCATTACTAGGTAAACTTTCATTACATTCAAAACGGGTATGAAAAGAAATGTCATAATAAATTACAGTTTTTTAAGAATAATAATTAGAAAACTTACTGATATTCCTACACAAAACTCAAAAAGTTGAGACAGTTCACTTTTGTTTTTAAGAGAGACAAATCCTTCGTTGTTAGATTCTAGGCACGCCCGACATGAAATTGTGTCAATTGTATTATTTCTTTCACAATTTGTAATCATTTTGTACATTCATTTAAAGTAAAACATGAGAATAGCAATATGAAAACAAACAACAACCGTTTCACTGGCTGTCACTGATGACAGCTGTCATCTCACCGGTACACAAAGCATAAACAATCAATTCAAATTTCAAAGACAATTTTTTTTACATAAATTCTTCTTTTAATTACGTATAAGTAAAAAATTAAATTGTAAAGCTGTAAAGAAATTTTTAACTTGATATCTAGAGGCTGGGTATATGCTCTTAAGAGCGAAGTTTGCTGCAATAAAAATCAGTTCAAACTTTAAATAACTATTATCAATATTTACGAATAGGATGTTGCTGATCCTGATTATAATATATAAGAATTTTGGTAAGGTTCTTTGTAGAGAGCAAAAATTGTAATAAAATTTGATTTGTTCTTGTTATGTTTATTTTGCCATCCTAAATCAGATATAAAAACGTTTTTGTCATTGCATGATTGTTTTTTTTACATTACTATGATTGCTTATTGGAAATACCTTGTTTTCCGACTACATACTTCCTTTATAGAAATACTGCTTCAAAACTATCCTGAGACTCAAGGTATTATCGGAAGTTACGATTGCAATAATCCTTCAAACTTGTTACTGAGCGTGACCTCATTAACGTAAATAGTTTTCCGCGCAATTTTAAGCTTGATTACTCGATCGTGTTATAAATTATGGGTGCGTTTTGTATCAACCTTTGTCTTAAGTTTACAGACGAGGTTTGATATGGACATTGATCAAATCTATTGTAAAATTACATTCCTGCCATGGTTTGAGGGAGAAAGTACGAAACTGTAAAGTAACTATACGTACTATTTGATTTAGAACTGGCTTTGGCCTCAATAATTTAACTATTGATGGTTTATTATCAACATTGCAATTTGTTTCAAAGTGTCGGAGGAAAAGTTTCTATTATAAAGTTTCGAAATTGAATTGCCAAGTTCCGTAGAAGCAATTAATACAATTACCTACTTACAGCTTGCCAGGGTTAGCGGTGAGCCTCAAATTAGTCGGATTAAACTTTTAACCCGAGATAAGAAAAGTCTTGCTTTTAAATGTGAAAGTAACAGAATAAATGAGCTCACATGTGTATTATGAAAGCGACGAGGCTTACGACCTAGACCAGAGGAAATAGACCTCTATTATCCCTATATATTCCTATAACCCTAGTGTGAAAGTTATAGGAAATAGCCATGAACATTTAACTAAGCTTTCGTCCATTTTAATATATCCCTCTAAAACTTATAGAAATTAAAATATGTATTGTTCGTTGCAAGTAAATATGTTTTTGTTGTTTTAATAAATAAAAATTTATTCTTTCTTATTTATTACGAGAAGCATTATTAAAAGAATCCTCATTTAATGACATTTTCTTTGTTCAAATATTTAAATTATTAGATGACCGAAAGGGAACTGAATATCATCAGTTCAGGTTATTATTGCGCATATGCAATTCAACTTATCAATTTGAAGCATATTATTACTAACAAAATATTTTAGAATTCTATATAAGGAATTTAATGTTTATATTTCTAAAAAACTTAATATAAATCCAATAGAAAACTGAAGGGTAAGGACTAAGTGAGTTTGTGAAGCTTTTGAAACTTAAAAGAGCCAGTAAAAGCTTTTAGTGCTCCAGTACAAGACTAATTGACATTTAAAAAAGCCTGGATTCTTTACTGTTAGAGCTTAAAATAAAATTTAAAACTTTACGCGTTGAAAAGGTACAAGCAAAGACGATGAAAATCATCAATTTCAATCTTACTAATATAACAAATTCAAATGTTTGGATGGATTTTGTTTGAAAGTATCTTCAGAACGGCTGAACGGATCTTGATAAAATTTGGCATAGATGTATTATAGAACATAGCCTGGAAGAACGCATAGGCTACTAATTTTTTGTTAATCCCTCGCGGATCAATTCGCTGGTGATCGCTAGTGTTAGTATAATTTCAATAGAAATGTAACTTATATATTTTTAACTGGTTGTAATAATATTTTCTTAGGTTTTGTTGCTCTTTTTGTTGCGGACATTGACCTTGAAGAAATATTTGGATATTATAAAACAATACAGAGTAAAATAAATTAACAAATTCCTTCGCCTTAATAGCGTTAATGTTATTGTTACAACTCCCCTAAAATGCTCGTCGCGTCTGAGTTTGTTTAGAGTCAACTCGAAAGGACTGTTTTGGGAAGTTTGCTTGGCTTACGAAGCTCGTTTTAAGAGTAAAGTTTTATTATGTCAAGGGTCTCATTTTTTCGTATAATACATACATTAAAAATACTTAAAAATGAAATATTTAAGAGGGAATAATTGTAGAAACAACTTATTTTTATAACCAGAATTGTTTAATAGACCTTGTTTAGTACTTTCCTTTTATTATTTTTGAAACTTAGTGTTAGTTTCATTAATTGTTTCGATTGTTTTGGTATTTGTTTTTATCTCACATTGGGCTGTGTTTTCCTACTTTTTCAAGGACATGACAACTTGTTGTAATTTCCTAATAATTTAATTTGGCGTTCTTCTTACGGACACCGATTGCGTGCCGCAGGCCCATTGTTTCAGCAAGCTAATCTAAAAGCCAATTATAAATCGCATCGCGTGTTCTTAAAACGAAAGCAAGACAGGCCGCGGGGGATTGTCGTCGTTCCTAGTCCCAAACTTATTACACGTAATTTAAAAGAAAACTCATTAGTCTGGCGATGTTCGGTTGAGATAATTTAATTACATGTTCATATCGAACATTGAGTCTGATATTCCCGTGACATTTCTATCAGAGAGAGTCCAGTCTCGACGGACGATATCGATAAGCGAGAAACTCGGGTTACAGAGAAACCTTTATAAGCGAGCAAATATCACAGTTTCTTGGAATCTCGTTTATCCAGGTTCAACTATACACAAAAAGATTTTGTCTTTGGTTTTTCTAACAGAATGGAAGGGATGACAATGTTAATACAAGTGTTTTGCTAGTGTGAAAGTACGGTTAATATATCTTATATTAATACATAAGAAATAAAAAGAACAGATGTTTTTGTCTATTAAAACTCTATGTTATTTACTACTACTATTTACTTTATATTATTATTATTTATCACTTTAACAAAAGTAAATAATGCAAAATATACTTTATATTGCTGTAAATAATAATAATACGACAGAAATATTACTAACAACGATTACTTGAAATAATTTGGCAAGCTAATAAATAAAGGGAAGGACAAAGAAGTAAAATAAGTCCTTTGGGAACACCTGAAGGTATTGTATGGAACGACTCTCGTAGCTACTTTCTTACTAAAAGGGGACAAGAATCAATGAAGTACCTCAATATCAAATTATATGGCAACATTTTTACGAATTGTCTATGCCATTAAGCGAGTATAATAAAATAATTTTATTTTTGTTAAAAGCAAAAAGTTTTTTTTTTCGACGAAACCCGTAAACTAGTAAGCAAAACTCAAAGACTTTAAGAATAGTTTGTCGTTTCAGCTTTACTAAGATATATTTTCCTTTAGTTGAGCACATTCATAATATTCCCTTGAGAGGAGAATGATTGATGTTCTTACACGCCTACACACGACTAAATAAGTTATTTAAGTAATTAGTTGAAAACATGACGAAACAATGTTTTATAAATACAATATCGCGTCGGCCTCCGCTTTTATTATTTAATCTGTTTTTTTATTAAGTGATCTTTGGTGGATAAACATATAAGATACTGGCATCTACTAAAATATTTATTTAAAAAATAATGCAAATTGTGAAATTGTTATACATAAAATATAATTTAAAAGAATACGACACATAAGGAATACAGAAATATTATGGCTCCGAGTTAGAAAATAAGTGCTACGAAATATCTAAGACGTAGAAATTCCGCGTAGCAATCACTACGACGCGTAGAAGCCGTGATGACGACGGTCGTTTTGTTTCCTGCTTCGCGAATCATGTCAGTGTCTGATTATGAACTATGTTAGTTTGTTATTTGACTAGGTATGTTACGAATTCTAAAAACCGTCGAAGTTATATTGTCAAAACTGATATTTGTTTGTTTTCATATATTATAATAATATTTCACTAGTTATTTTCTGTCAGATCTTTAATAGAAGGATAAATAGGTTAATTCCAAACAAGTGTAAATTTTCTTTCGTCGTAATAATACTAAAAATCAACTATGACATTCAAATTTTTTTTAATAATAAATTTAGTCTTTCATTCAGCTCTGTAATATTAATATAAGTAGGAATTATTTGCACGAAAATGAGAGCTCGTAGCCTTTAATCTACCTCTATGCTCTTTAATCTATGGATACGAGTTGGAATCACTAAATACACAATACATCTCTGAGATGAAAAGATATTGTATTCTTACATATATCTATCCTTTTGTATTAAAGTAAATATTTATTTCTAAATGTTCTCTTGATTATAATAAAATAATAAAACTTCTGTCCTATATTTTACTCAGTTTATTTTGCAATTACATTTTCGTAGAAGGATGTAGAACAGTATTCATATAATATTTTCCTTTGAACCTTTCGTAGAAAATTTAGTTTCTCAGTTTTCCTCGAAATAAAAGTAAGTAAATACGCGGATTCAGAAATGTATTCCAGTCAATCTCACAACTACGCGTGTCGTCTTCGTACAGTAAATTTTTATCATCCCAATGTGGCCATCAAATTTGAATAACTTTAGGAACTAAACGTCGGTATGGTAATTCGTAAGTGCAAAGTTATACCACGATTTATATTGTTTACATTACATCTCATGAAATGCGCTGAAAGCAATGTTGGATTTGAATTATTCATATCGAAAAGTTTAAATTTATGTTCCCGTATGATTCAGCCCTTACGAGCATATTCTCACTGACATTAACGTCTTCAAATATTTTATGGACTGAATCCCAGACGCGGTTTATTCGTGAATTAATCAAGTTTCAGTAAAAACTTTCGTCGTCTTTTTTTGTTAAATGACCTATGTTACCTTTGTTTAAATCGTTACAACATGAGTTTTATTCTGTAAATAATAACAATATTTTTAAATTAATCATGTCACTGATGACAATATTTATTAAGAGAAGATAAAGTACATTTTCGGCTACATTAAAAATAAGGAGTAAATAAAACTAGTATTGTAAAAATAACAAAAGCTTCTGAAGATATTTATTATGTTAGACCTAATTAAAGTAAAATATTATCGTTATTAAATACTGATGAACGATAAGGTATAAATATAAAAGTCCTTTTAGTATGCAATTAGATTTTTATATTTAAATACATTAGAGTTTCCAAAATAACGCTGCTATCTAAAACATTAAAGTGGCTGTAACTGCTGAGAATCATCGTAAAACCCTCGAGCTATAATAATAAAGTTAAAAAAGTTTACGTTTACACGACGTCTGCTTTGAAATGTTCACAATTAACTCCTCTTAATGAACTTTAGAGGGCGAAGTCTAATTACACAAAGGAGTTTTTATTGAATTAATAAAGAGGAGTATTGGAAAAGGATTTAAAAAATATAGATGTTAGTCTATGGCAGGTGACCGTTGCTATTTACCGTCCTACTTATTCAGGTCCCGTACGATGTGGGTGGGCTAAGCTTGCTTATAGATCGGAGGGCGCCGGCCAGTGTGTTTCGAAGTGTCGGCGCGCGCGGACGTATCGTACACTACCCTGTTGCGAATAGACAGAGAGGTCTATACTAATATCAAGGTGCCAGAGTGAGACACGAACACGCGACGCTCAATTTCAACAGGTCGTTATTGAAACTTAAAACTAAATGGTGATCCTGTGCAATTATTTCAACTTCTGTTATGATTTTATTAAGTGTTTAAGTTGAAAGTTTTATCAGGCGTTCGGAAATTATAATTACTTTTGATAAAGAAAATAAAAAATTAAGTGAGCTTTTTATATTCGTTTTGATAAAAGCAAAAGCTATTTAAGATTATTAAATATTTTTTTAAATTTTAATTGTTTAGTGTAATAAAAATGTTTTCTTCTACTTTTCGTTGGGACTATACCCTAGTGTTACAATGATCTATCAACCATCAAAAGGTCGCGGATTGGATTCTCAGTTCATTTCCTTTAACAATTATTAATTTTATTAATTAGTAAGAAATCTTTGTACAATACCGAATTACGTAGGTTAAACAGGAATAATTTGAAAACTTAAATTAAGAATACACAATACATTTCATCTTTAATGGAGCCCTAGATTTCGGAATACTAATTGTAATTAAATACTAAGTTTTCAGCTTTTTTATTTGAGTATATAATAAGCTCGTATATAAAAATAATTGTTAAAATATGTTCTTTTATTCTAATGAAAATAATATAAACAGTTTTCCTATTTGAAATTCGAACGATTAAAAGTTTGAAATATTCCGTTAAACATAAATACATTATTTTCAGCCACATGTTTTTAAATGCATTTTGGAAAACAGTTACGATTAAAATAGAACGAAAAATAGTTGACAGGAAAGGATTTTCCGATCTCGAGTAATTACGTAACTAATATGTAGAAGTATTTTTTGTACGTACTATCTTTCGAATATTTATATGTGAAATATTCTTATAGTATAACTATCAAAAATACACGTAAACGCACATTGTTTCAGCTATCAATAATAGGTTTTGAAAAAGGAACAAGTTTTTTTTTCTAATTATACTTTTCTTTGCGTGTTATTCTTTAATATGTTATGAAAGTTCAAATAAGCTTTAAAGTCTTGAAGGCAAATTCTCATTGTGGTTTTGCCTAATAGGCTCTGTTTGACTTTCAATTTGCTAAGCGATGACTTAACATTCTACACACCTATTTTCATTAAGTTCTCGGACTTAGTTTTTAATATATTCACAATATGTGTCTAGGATTGATGACAATCAAATAACTCATAAAAGTTTAAATGTTACATTAAATTAACATAAAATATAATAGTCCGTTAAATAGTAACAGTTGTTAGCAGTCCTTAACTATTTCAGTGTAACACAAACACAAGAGACGTGTACATAAAGCGGGCTCACTGGACTCGTTAAATATGTACCGCGTGTTCTCTGATTGCTGAGCGAAAATACGCTAAAACAGCATTTTTGAGAGATTCTCCGTTTACTGTGAACATGTTTTTATGGTAATTATAACCGCAGAGTCTAAAACTCATCATGATAAAGTTATAACTATCATCATGATAGGCAATTTAATTCTATTCCTACCTTTATATCCTAGTAGTTTTTGTGATTAATCTTTCATTTTATTTAAAGTTGCCAAATTGAGCTTAAAGCTCATAAATTAGCACACTAATTCTTTTAAAAAACTAGTATCTGAAAAGAGTCATTTCATGTTTTAATACATATAGTATATGTACTTATATTATATAAAGTAAAAACGCAGACAAAATTATTGTCATAGTCTTGTTATAGTGTTTTATTTGACATTCGGAGAAAAAGAATCGTTTTATTCCACAAGTGGGTGCTACAAGTAAGTAGTAGACATTTGTACTAACTTTACGTTTTATTTTCAAGGTTTTTATTATGCATATAGCTCGATATAATGAATATAGATAGGTTAGATGGATAAAAATCATTCATATATAGAGGTCTAAATATATCTTTAAATAAACTGTCCAACCGTTTATTACACTAGCCAAAGTAATTGTTGGTCTTGTTTAAAACGTTTTATTAGAAAATATAGCTCCTACGTTGATTTTTTTTCTTAAATTGGTTATAAACGGAGCAACAAGTAAAGTGGATAATGACCTACATTTCGTCCACGCCCCGATATGTAATGCTGCTTGTTACGAACAATACAACCACACTAAGTGGATAGAAATTGATAACACATTTAGTATCACAATGCCTATTATTTTAAGGTATTTTAGTGACAGATTTAATGATGTAGAATCATGAATATTGTTAAATATATTGTTGAAGACATTCGGTTATGTATCACAACATAGTATAAGAGTAGAGCATAGTTGGTTTGTTTGAAATATATTAGAATAATCTGTCAATAATCTATTACAAATTTAACTTTTATAATTTGAATAACATTTGAGATAGTAACCAATTTCAGTAGTAGAATTAGTAGCCTTGATTGTGTATTGATTTTTAAACCCGTTCTGATATTGTCTGTTTTGTGGGTAATCGTAAAATGTATTGATTACACTTAATCAGAAACATGTTTGTTTCAATATTGGTATCATTAAGTAGAAAGTTCGTAGGAAAAAATCAATACGTTTGTGTACGTGGCTCATGGTCATTGCTCGTTGAACCAAGCTAGTGACAATAGGATGTTTTAGTTTCGATGTTTTTTCAACGATATTTAAAGAGGTAAGTTTTGATTATTTTAAAACAATTATTAAAATTCAAAGTAAGCTTAAAATTCAAGCATCATTATAACGGTCGATTTTATAAGTTTTTTATTGTAGAAAAAGAAAATTAAAAACTATTCCAATCCAATTTTAATCTTATATTTTTCGTAATCATAAAACAAAATCATCATCAAACATTTTTAAAACAACTTTAACAATATACGAAGGATACTTCTCTTCTTGTTCGTGGTAATTGCTACGATTATCTTCAGAGCCCTTAAAGCTTTGAGAAAGCTCAATGGGGTCTCGAATATTTAAAAGAAAGGTGAGCTTTTGATTCGTCTAATTCACAAAAAAGTTTTATTTTTTAGTTCGGATATTTTTCATTTAATGTCATCATTTACGATGTAATATAGAATTAATGTAAACTCTAGATATAATAACTAATAATACCTTCTATATATATTTTTTTAATTTTAAGATTTTTAAAATCAATTTCTTCCTACTACGAGAAATGCCTTTTGATAAATTGGCTACGATACATGTAAATAAACATGTAAAGTATCTCGCGGAGGAAAACCATAAACAATAATTGAACAGCTATACTAGCAATTTACAGCCAGTGCAAGCTCAAACAAAAACCAGAAGTAACCATAAACAGGCTATAAAGAGTAATGGTTCTGTTTAATCTCGCGTGCGAACTCCTTGCTTGAACGCCGTCCGTAGAAACTAATTACTAAGGTTTATTTCAATTGCTTAAAAAAAACTAGGTCTTTATTTTAAATTTATTACTATATTTTTACTTTATTTTTCTAGATGTATATCAGTTTTTAAATTTTATGTTGTCATAATAAACGTAACACATTTAGTTCACGCAATGAAGAAATATTTTTATTCTTTTGTTACGAACGTAACTGTTAAATATAGTTTTAGTGCCATAATTTTTTATCTTAGTCTGACATCGCGTAAATCAAAGTAAATACCAATTTTGTTTGTACGTTTACTTTAAAGAAAATTTCTAGTTGAAATATTTTAAATGTTATTTCGTACTTATATCAAATATTTTAAAGTTATTTTGTAATAACGAATAGGAAAATAGCTTATATCTGTTGCAGTTCGCCCTGGCTTATCTTGACAGATAGATTAATTTAAAAATGAGCCTTACTCTCATATTATTATGTGTTTGACAATAAAAAGTTTCAAGTAGATTTTAAGTTTAATTGAGGCCATAATATCTTTATTACATGAGAACAGATAAACTAAATGACTGTAATTATTTACATTACATGACATATTTTCAATTATATTTTATCCTTTCTATTTTTTTACTCTAAAGATAACTAAAATCTTAAATGATATGTCATCGATTTTTTTTTGTCATCAGACTGACGTAATCTTTTATTAATGTGTCATGACTATCACAGTAGTCGGGGTTAATAAAAGTCGTATGTTAACTAACGCGTTTATTACCACACTCTTCTTCACTAACTATTTTTTAGTCCTTTCATTTAATGATTGAAAACTTTGGCCTAGTAATTATTGAGTGAATTGAATTGACCTTTTTAGGGTTCCGTACGTCATAGAAAAAAAGCGGTACCGTTATAGGATCACTTTGTTGTCCGTCCGTCTGCCTGTCAAGACCCTTTTTCTCAAAAACGCGTGAAGGTATCTAGCTAAAATTTATCTCAAATACACAGATCTGCGCTCCCTTAGAGCTGTGAAAACATAAAAGTTCTAAACCAACGCAATCAAAAGATACAACTATTTATGTCGCGAATTTACGCATTTTTTTTTCTAAATCGAATGAAGTTACTTTCTTAACCGAATTTAAAAAGGAGAAGGTTCTAAATTCTAATGTATGTTTTTTTTTAAATAGCTAAGTTACTGCAAAATCTTAAGAAAACTATTGACGAGATATGATTATCTTATGGTGACATAAATTAAAATTTATTCTTGAAGTTAAAAGATTATTTACCAAGCCAGATTAAAAAATAAAATATTGTATAATTAGCATCATAAATCTAGTTCACTGGAGAAAATCTTTATATACATATATAATTCTTCTGTGAGTGTGTATGTCACTGAACTTCTCTCAAACGACTGGACCGGACCGATTTTGATGAAATTTTTTGTGTGTGTTCAAGGGGATCTGGGAATGGTTTAGATTCACAATTTTGTCCGCTGAACAATGTTTTTTTAATTAATTTTTAATTTATTAGTAGTTGTTGATTTTGAAATGTTTTACATTGGATCCGACAGACGGCGCTACCATCGCAGTGTCAAATTTTAAATAATATTCGAATTAAAGACGTGTAGACAGGAAAACGTCTGTCGGGTCCGCTATATTAATATAAATATAACGATGTTTGATGTTTTTTTGTGACGAAATGGACATTTATTATGTTACGTTTAGATTTATTTGTGTTCGGGGTTTTAACAATAGTAGCAACACACTATTGAAATCGTTACCACCCTGTACATGATTGATTGCGATGGTAATTTTTCAACATATTGGAAGCATAGTAATAGTGGTTCCAAAGGATTTATTATAGTATTTTTATATACATTAGTCTTTGTTCTATTCCAAAAAATATTGATTAATATTTTTATAATACTTTCTGACCCATAACTTTTTTTTTCTTTTCTCTCTTGGCGGCCAATAACTTATTGTATAGTCTATTTCATTATTACATAGGATAAGGATTTATTTAGACGGTCTATTGTAGAGACATTCTGTCAATATTTGATTAATAATCACACATTATTTAATAAGCTACTTAATAAAATAATATTAATTTTTAATATTACTTTCATTAAGTAACTAGCTGTCGCCCGCGTGCCGTCCGCGTGGATATATGAAGAAAAATAATTAGTGTAGTCTATGTGTTCTTTCAGACTATGTTCTATACGTATGCCAAATTTAATCGTAATCTGTTCAGTTGTTCTAGAAATCTTCAAACACCCATCCATCCATCTACATCACGTCCATCTAAACATTCGCATTTATAATATTAGTAAGTTAAATAAAAACCAGCTTTTCAAGGCATAAATTCGAAAAAAAAAAGTATCCTACGTCGGTCTCCTGTCTCTAAGCTACCTTCTCACCAATTTTCAGCAATATCGGTATAGCCGTTGTTGAGTTATAAATAGTGTAACTAACACGACTTTATTTTATATATGTAGATAATTTATCTTTAGCACGGCAGCTAAAATGAATTTATTTCGTTGTTAAAAACCTAATACTAAAACTATATACATATTCACATTAAACATTCCAACTAACTCTTATTCACGACTATATTTCGTTATTAACACTTACCTCGTCCCTTCTTTTTTCATAATTAAAAAGTCAAAAATTGTTAGTGGCCAGTATTCCATGTTTAACATAATTTTATATACATACTCTGTGAAGTCCATTCCTATATTTTATCATACTCGTATAATGCTATTTTAAAGCAATGGTAGTTTTGGCTTACAATAAGTTAGACTCATAGCAAAGCGTAGTTATTAGAACACAGTTTCACTTTGATAATATTACTTTGGATAGTAACTCGAGTTGGTATTAATTGTTCCTCTCAGCGTAATTCGCCTGGAACTTAATAGCTGCCCCTTTCAACGCTCAAATATCATATCTGTTCCGCTCTTAACAATATTGTATCAAAGGGTAAAATAATAAGTCACAATACATTAATTAAAGCAATTGCCTGAATATAAAATGACAAACAATTGAATTTTTTATATTTACTTGATTATTTTCATATTAAATTGTGAACTTAACATGATATAGTCTCAGAAGCTTTTTCCTTTTAAATTATTCTCAAACGTTACTGGAATCCTTTGAAAATAAAAGTAGATAAACTAATTTAGAACTTAATTTTCGATGCTAAGGATGAACGAGAGTCATGAAAGTCGATACAGACAGACGAAGTTTTCTCCGCGTCTCGTGGAAATTCAATAAGCTTTTCTTTTTAATACTAGACTAGACAGACGTTTATACGAATGTATTTCGTAGCTGTAGAGTGAGTTTATTAGTTTAACAACTTGTAAATATGTGTGTAAAGTATTTACTTTAAATTAATTATTAGTAAAGTATAATATTGTTTAGTATTTATCCTTTTGTATGTTGCCTTTACTATATTCCTAATTATTCGACGTTTTATAAACAACGCAAATGCTACGAACGCTACGTTTGCTACGGATTTCAGCTACATTCTTTGCTTTGCTACACCATTTATTTACGTTTAATTTTCTTATATTTAAACGGCAATATGTAACCGATAACATATTTATATGTTAGACGAGAAGCTATTAGGATACTTATATGGAAAATCCTTAAATACTTTTAGATAGTGACTATGTCTAAAACTATGCTGAGTACATCCTTGTAATATTTATAATAATAGGACTTATTGAATATCTATAAATTGTGGTATCTTTTGTTATCTTAAATGTAAAGAATCGAGGTCACGGCGATTTCGTCTCGAAACGATTTCTTACAATTTAAATTCTTGTTAAGCAACCAAAAAGGTTACGTAAGCATTCGTTTACAACTGGCTGATAATTCTTATTTGTAGTACTTCTAAGACATTTTTTTTTGGTTAGAAGAAGAGCGTTTAACACTTTATAGGTCTTTATACTATCGATTTGTTAACAATATTTACTCAAATGCTAAATGCTAACTGCTAACTGTTCCAAAATATTTAAAATTTTTGGCTTGTTACAAAGATCTTGTTAAATGCTTCTTGCATTTGACAGCGACCGTTACTGGAGATTTTCACACCCTTATTTTCCTAACTGCATTTACTGGCATGTGCATATTTCGTTATGTTTAGCATAACTCTATAAGACAGAATTTAATTGAATGTCTGGTGGACAAAAACTGGTGGATTTACCCCATATGAGTGGAAAAAGGATAGAGAGTTGATAAAGTGTAACTGGATAAAACAAATATTTAATATTTAAAGAGTGATGGTTAATTCATAAACAATTAGTTTTTAGCCGCGACTTAATCCGCGCGGATTAAAAAAAAATACTTTGTTTCTCCAAAAGTTTGTTCCAGAGATTTGTTTATCTGTTCCGGAGTTACCTGTTAACAAACATCAAAACTTTTGCAATTATAATGAGATTCAACCAAGCAATAGAAAACGTTAAACCCTTTCAAAAACAGTACTGTCTACGACTATGTAGAGTTTTTCAAAATATCAATATATGTTTTCTTGTTCCAGGACGGCAAGGAACGTAATACAATGTGTTACTTCAGCATAATACTGATTATATTCGATTTAAGTGACCGGTTGTGAAGAATTAGTGAAGGATGGCGCCGCGAATTGTAAAATTGTCAATATTACTCACGTTTTGTTTATCTGGAATCACTATTGGTAAGTTTTGCGCATATTTATTAATTAACTAGCGATCGCCCGAGACTCCGTCTATGCGGAATTAAAAAGAAATATTATTAGTAGCTTATATGTTCTTCCAGACCGTGTTCTTTATTTATGCCATATTTAATTAAGATTCGTTGATCCATACTAGAGATACCTTCAAACAAACATCCATCCATCGATCTAAACATTCGCATTTATAACATTAGTAAGATTAAATTACCATGGTTAACCTTTGAACTTAAAAGAATTGTTTGCAAAATTCTGATTTTTTTATATCGAGGAAAATTTTATTTTGTTTATTCGCATAAAAATGAAGTCTAGTTATTTTTCTTTATAATTTAAGCTACTTATTCGTATTCCAAAAATTCGCCACATATTCAGGAAGGCGGGAAACATTACTTATAAATAATTCATACAAAGGTAACCGCACCCATACTGAATATGTTTATGGTAACGTCGAAAAAGGTTAGGATATTTTTCTTTTGAATCAAATCAAATGTAATGATAAAATGGACAGAGGTTTAATATAAGTAACAGTCGATATCCAAAATATCTAATTAATCTTACTAATATAATAAATTCGAATGTCTGGATGGATGGATGTTTGTTAGAAAGCATCGGGAACACCTCAACAGATCTGGATGAAATTTAGCATTGATGTAAAACCTAGTCTGGCAGAACTCATAGCCTACTAAGTTTTTTTTTTAATTCCGAGCAAACAGAGTCGCGGGCGATAGCTATTTTATTAATTAATCTAATCTTTCTACCGGTTGGTGTTCCTGGCATTCCTGTAATGATATTTTGATTAGCACATGAATATCGACCACAATGTTTATTAACGATACTGGTAGATGCTACTATTTATGCAGAATACTATAACTAGACATAAGATAAAAAAAAACAACTAATGCTTTGGACTCGTTACAAAATAATTTGATAAATAAAATTAAAAAAAAAACACATAATATCCTACACTAATAATATTACCGTTTTTAATAAAAGTAGAGTCAGTCTCGGATTTACCGATGGAAATGGATTTCGTCGGAAAAAATAAACGATATCCGGGATAGAATTGTCCATCCAAGCAATTTCTTCCAACGTAGTAGAAGACGGAATCTTTATACCAACTAAGGGAAGCTTTGTGACGCAAAATTTGCATTTCATCGGTTTACACTGCTAGTCCAGCTTACTTGTTCTTCAGTAAATAAAAATCTCTTCCAAGTTTTTCCAACGACAATGTCCATCAGTGCGAATGAATGAACTAACTGCATCTTTTTAAAGATATCGAATATTTTGTTTCAAGTCGAAGTATTTTTGTGTTTATTTATTTATTTATTTAATAACTGGAAAACTATATTAATAATGATAGTTTTCGCATATGGACAATAAAAATAACAGTATAACATCGCAAAGAGAATAGACAGTTTTAAAATGGAAAAAAGAAAAACAGAAATACAAGAACACCAAGCGGCTAGCAAACTGGACAACCAAAGAATTCGCTTCTCAAATCGCTTACAAAATTTTATAAATTGTTACTATTTAAAAAAATTTAACATAAAATGACCTTTTTTTTTCTTAACATGGATATCCACCAGTAAAACACCTGTATAAATAATCCAATTTGTTTACGTTGCTGTAAACATTGGCTGGGTATCAGTCCCCAGAGTGACGTAAATGTGACCGACTAAATTATTGTTGTTAGAGTGTAATCTCTTAAAGCAATAAAACTATTACCTACATTATAAATGTACTGGCTCTTGCCCACGACTCTGTCTGCGCGGTATTCAAACATAGTAGCCTATGTGTTATTCCAGACTTTGCTCTACATCTATGCCAAATTACAGCGAGATCCATACAACAGTTCTTGACATACCTTCAAACATCCATCCATCAATCTAAACATTCGCATTTATAATATTAAGTAATATAGTAATAGTTTAGTTATATAAGTAAGATTAGAGAAATTCTATAAAGATTTTTGAATTACACAATAGGGATAGTAGTCAAGTGGTCAACTTAGTCGGATGAGCTAATGATTTAATGTAATACTAAAATGTTTTTGGTGGTTTTGGTTTAGTGACAGGCATGTCGGATGTTTGGGTGGAGCTGCGGGCGCCGCGCTTCGTCGTCCATCGGCACAGCGCGGTGCTTCGCTGCGAGCACAACGTCGACCCTGACTCTCTCTACAAGGTATGAATAAAAAGTGTAATTGTACACAGTGTGTAATTGTACAAAGTGTGTAATTGTATAAAGAATGTTACTGTATAAAGTGTGTAATTATACAAGTGTGTAAAAACTGTCCAACTGTACTTTTAGATGACACAGCAAGATTTCTTTTTGTTTTCATACACAGATAAATAACATCTTTTGCTCCTATATTACAAATTGTGTAATTTATTCCGATATACGTTGTCTTTAACAAACTAATTAATGTTATCAAATTTTGTTACCAGGTAGTGTTTTTCAAACACGGTCAAAGGATAATGAAGTACGTGCGCGGAAGGGATCCTCCCTTTGAGACCTTCAATTTTACCGGCGCTGAAATTAACGTAAGTTTTGATGTAAAATCCTTAATAATTTTATTATAATTGTACAGAAAATTAGTAGTCATATTTATCAAATTAAGCTTAACAGACACTAATCTATACTATTATTATAAAGAGAAAAGATTTTATTGTTTGTTTGCTTTGAATAGGCTCCTAAACTACTGAATCGATTTGAAAAATTCTTTCACTGTTGCGGGGCCATACTATTCCGGGGTAACATAGTAGGGTATATGAGATTTTGTGACACAGTTAGGCCAACTGCTTTCTTATAATGCTATCACATATGACTCACAGCCAATTTCATTCTCAAAATCTAAACATGTGAAATAATATTATTTTACAATCAATGTGCAATATACTTATTTCGTTTGAATTTGTTTGTAGGAAACGACGAATGCATCATGTTTGTATTTTTATTTGTATTTTACGTATAAAATATCAAAGAGTTGAGTCATATTTTCATTTCAGTTGATAAAGTTAACACCTACTTCCATAACGTTGGAGAAAATGGATTTCTCGGCTTCGGGTTCGTACGCCTGTGAAATTGCACTCGAGACGCCTTTGTATTCAAAAGTGTCGAAAATTCATGAACTGAATGTTATTGGTGAGTAGCTGTTTAACACTTCGTGACGTCCAAAACTATTTTCTACTTTAATCATTGAAAATAACAAAGTGAAGTGGATATGGTTAACGAATCGCAGTTATCCTAGCGAAAAAATCTGTATGCAGACAAAAATAAAACTTTTAACAATTTCCTCGTTAGTATTCGTGACACACTAAAAACAACATTTATTCTCTATTTCACTCTCTGAATTGTTATTTGACTTAATTCGTGTTTGCTTTTCTATATTTCATTTAGTCCGCCAGAAGTACCGTCCAAAAATTAAAATAAAACACAAGAAAGTATCGTCCAGTGAGAACTTAGAAGCGACTTGTCAGAGCGCCCCCGCTCACCCCGCACCTCACCTCACCTGGTTCATTAACCATATGAAGGTATGTCTACAACTACCTTTCCTATGCAATATTTGTAAATACGTGTACCCTATGTATCCGTAATTCTGTTGCTTAATTATCTGTGGTAGGTCAACAAGCTATGTAACACAGTGTAAGCAGTTTGTAAATAAAAAAACAATTAGGCCTTTTGAACATGAATGAATTAAGATTCATACAGATGCAGATTACGTTATTTAATTTAGAGCAAAAAGAAAAGCAAAGAAAGAGAATTGGCTCATCAAATTACTTTTAAAATTTATTATGAAAGCGAAAGAATGTAGTATGAAAGCTTGAGATTAAATCCTTTAATAACTGTAGTAAAAAGAGAAAACTTATCAAACTTCAAAAACAAATATGGGAATAAGTGCATTGTGCAAGTTTTATTGCAAATATCTTTGAAAATATTAAAGTGAAGGATATTTGAAACGGAATTATTAAATTCTTTAAACATGGATCATATTTTCTTTCTATAATAATTGATAGGCTTAGAATATTTTTATTTAAGATAAAAAAATCCTAAGGTTTACACGAAATAATTTTTGATGTACAGGTAGACGAAAGATTGATCGAACCTCACGGAACTTGGAATGTCCACCGTCATCATCACGGTATGCCGCTGTCGCTCACTAATTCCTCGCTCCACTTTCCGTTGTCCAGTCTCCAGCTGTTCCCCAATCAGACAGTGGAGATAACATGTCTGAGTACAATACCAAGCTACGCGAATCTCGGTGAAGGATTTGCGGATATACAAAATCATACGGTTACCGGTAAGCATTAATTATAAATAAATCTTGTAAGAAAATAAATGTACCTAAGTTACAATGGCTGCAGCTTGTTTTTTATCTCTGTTTTCTCAGAGAGAATGTGTGAGACAACACATATGTTTATGTGTAAATTTTTCGGGAGTTGTAACTCAGGGTTAATTAAGCTAGTATGGGTATTTACCGTTGGGCCGATTTTTTTTCCGATAGGGTTAGCCTCGATGGCACGGTATGGCGAAAACCTACTAGTAAATGTAACGCATAAACATTTCTACATTAAATATAATTAATGGTTCAAATGTATAGTTGATTATGGCTAACGGTTGTTATAAAATAGTTGTCTAGTTATTCTATAGAAAAGGTCTTTAATCTAAAATTATTAAAAAAATAACATCCTGTGTGTATTCATTAAAGAACAGAGTGTACTGGATATTTCGCACTACGCATTATAAAGTAAATTTTTTGAGATAGTGTGTATTGAACCTTATATTGTTTTCCAGTTAACGTAATCCGTATGGAACCGCCGCCCACTCAATTACCGGTGAAGATCATCAGTCCTGAACACAATTCTTCAAATCGTTACAACAATCAGTGTGTGCTTATAATTTTAATGTATTTGATGTGCTGTTATACTAAGATGCAGTGAAGTGTCACGATTCGTAATTTAAAATATATTTTTTCAAATTTCGTACTTCCATATTTTTATTTTTACTATTTTTATAAATTGATTTAACTACTGAAGGCAATGACAAAATAACTTCTAGATACATTAAATCCGACAGTAAGCTTGAATAATTTGAATAAGTCGCAAAGCATCTGACACTTTAGCTTGTAAAAATAACTTTGGATCTTGACTTCGATATTTGAGCGAAACCAAAGTGACCGCTTGCTCTCTCGCAAACTTCTCAAGGAAAAGTAAAATCTCTACGTTATCTCTCTATTACTTTATCTTGATGACGTATTTTAATTTAAATATGCAATAGAGGATCGATTTCTAAAAATTTTTTTTAGTTACTTTTGTCTTCATTTAAACATCAATTATAGAAGAAAATTAAATAATGGAACTTATACTGAACATTATTTCTTTACGAGTTTATGGCAAAAGATTTTTTTTATCGAAATTCTAATTTCGTGGCCTATTCACAATTAAAAATAAAAAACGTTGACTTTTTTAAAATTTTAAATACCATCCTTTTTTAATATATTGCATTAATTAATGTAAATGGGTAATTTTTTTTTAAACACTTTTTTACGCGAAATTATGAGACTGATGTAAAAAATAGGCGTACTAAAATGGCTAAGAACAGCAAACAAAAATATAAATAACTTCACGTTCACTTACGCTTGTACAAAACATATTGTTTTCTCTTTCTTTTCAATGGAAATAAGAGAGAAGATTATATGTTTTTGTACAGTCCGCAGCGCAAATATTTAGAGAGTTACAAAGTTCCAGTAATTTGTGTACACATTCGGCTCCAAAAATATGTATAAAATATCCATCAATAACCTGTAGGATCAATAACCGAAGGATTTTGAAACCGAAAAAGTATACATATTTTGGAACTTTGTAAATATATACATTTAAGCAGCTGACTGTACATTTGTTCCGATAGAAAAAGTCGTGGTTTCATTGAGAAAAATATTAAAAAAAATTAAACAGGGTTTAAAATACCTATAAAACCCAAGCTCGAAAAAGACACATCAAGTTACCTTGAAATTTATCTAGGTATTAGATGCTTAAAGCTAGCTACGATGATTTTACACGCAAAATACGCGCTACTCGTAGAGTTGCGTAGAAAGCCTATATAACTAAGTCCGATGATGCTAGAACTAAGTACTAAAACTAAGCGTAATCGTAAAGCCCCAATCCAATTGAACCCATTCTAGAATGTATTCTTTTCCACAATAGCATTTATTATATAATAAAATTATGTTTTATTTTTGTTACCAAAGCAGACTTTAATTTCGAATATTAATAATCAAAAAACAAAATAAAATCTTTCAATCTTGTAATTATTGCTAAACATAACATAAACTTTATTAGTCAAAATCATAATATAATTAGTAATCCTCTGCCGTAGCTTAGGAAGGAAATGGTAATTTTAAATGTAAATTAGCTTAATGTACTAAAATTTTATTTTAACTATACTTTCCAACTTAATTGTTAGAATTTTCTTCAAATGTGACAACGCGTATTATTTTTTATTTCTAAATTACTTTTATTTGATATCTAATTGTGTGATATCAGGTAACATTTTTTATCAAGTAATTTATTTTGAAAATAAAATTATATATTATAAAGTATTTTCAAATATTCGCATGTTAATCTATTGAACTTATGGAATTCAAATCATTGCTTAATTTTATTTAAACAGCATCTAAAGCTGTAGTATAATTTAAATTCTTAGGAGCAATTATGTAACTAAACATATCATTAGGAGTGAATATAAAATAGAAATTTATAAATATAATTGTTGTGTGCATTTGAAATTATAAGCGAAGATTTTCATGTATTTTTTTTAATGTGTCTATGAATTTATGTGATAAATATTTAAAAGATTTAAGCCGGCATTTATTACAACAGAGTTTAGCGAATGTTTAATGTTTTGTTTTCATTAAACTCAACAAATAATTGAAATATTATTATTTTAATTAATTTAATTTTATTATATTTTAATTAAATTGATGTAAATATTTAAAAAAAATTATTTAACAAAACAGGTTATTCCAAATTAAATAAAATATTGTTTGATAGAAAATATTAATCTTGAAAAAATATTTTATGGGAAATGTTAAAATTGTTTTCATAGGTAGCTCAAAATGTATTAGTCCAATGTATATTATAATTTCTTGTAATGTTTAAATCAAATAGTATTTTCAAAGATTCTAATTATTATTACGACTAAAAGTAGTTTATAGAAAATACCGATAACACTTCAAATTGGTTTTAATTATATTTTTCATTACGTGATAAAAAATTATAGAGATTTCAAAATTCGCTAGAGTATTGTACTTAAGATATTTTAAAAGCGATTAAAAGAAACCAGTTTTATTTATTATTGGGTATATCTGAAATAGCTTAGAAATTTGTGCAATTAGCACAATTTTATGTTGTATTTTGAAAGTAAGTTGTATTTTATAACTAATACTATATTTTCTATATTGACGGAGAAATTTATGCAGGCTATTAATGTCTTCCTGATTGCTATACACTCTTTATAAAACTTTAAGTGTACTATGTATATGTTAGATTTAATAAGTATAGATACGTTACTTATGACACAGTATAGTTAAACATATAAGTACTGATATATATCGAATTGCTTTTTTTACGACTGCCGCTTTAATACTTGCTGTCAATTATGCGTAATTGTTATTTAAAGTTGCTTTACGCAGATGCCGAAATTCATCGATTGTATTGCGCCTGTGAAGATATTTTAGCAATCTTTTCTTTGACGTGTTTAATTTTATTTTAAACTTTATTGCTATTAACTTTTAATTATACAAATTATTTCTTCATTGAACTTTAAATATACTGATTTCGGTAGAGAAAAATCTAGGATATCAATGAATAGGCATTTGAATACATCTCTAACCAAATGGTTTTCCAGTTTTAGTTGTCTTCATTATACGAATAAATGGTTAGATGAAGCGAAATGTGCTCGTCTAATCGCCTTTCATTATTTCGGCGTCTGTGTGAGAATGCTAAGAAAAAGAGTCGCTTTTCAATGTTGTACCGTCGTCAGATCAGTCCAAAGAATAAGCCCCAAGTGTAAGACATTTTTATTTATTTTTATTACACAAATATTTTATATTTTATTTTTGATGTTTTGTTTCTCATTTGTTTATATCAGAATTTTTAATTCCAATATTTAATAGAATTTTAGACTTGGAAATGCATTTCTATAATTTACACTAAATAATTAACTGAACAACCAAGGTATAAATCTGTTTTTTCAAAGGCAATTAAAGGCATTATAATGTTTTTAAGTGTTTCCTGTTGGGCCTGTTGGAAAATTTTGATCGGTAAACTCGGCCCAACAGCAAACAGTCATTTTTAGGTGAAATATTTCTGAAATAGAAATCTGCAGTTATGTTTTTAAACACGATTTATAAACTGTACAATTATTTATGAATATTTTAATAAAAATTATTTGTATGACAGAAATGTTATATAAAAATTCATATAAAATTAAAATAGCCAAGCTGTATGTAGCTGAATGGATACGTGTTTGTAATTGCGTGTTAAACGTGTACTCTGTACGCAGCTGTTCTGCTGAATTTGTATGGAAAATGTCTAATATTTACAAAAAAAAATGTGAAATTTTATCTCTTTATAAAAATAAATGTATTACACGTTCGATTTACACAATGGATTAATGTCGTTTCATTTCTTCCCCCCCATAACAAATAAAAAATAAAACTGAACTAGTGTTCTAGACTTGCTTTCGTAGTTTATTATCGCAGTTTCATTGGTCTATTTCATGAAGCAATTTGAATTTAAGTTCTTATAAATCATTTAATTCTTATTCTTGCGTAGTTTATTGCTAAAATCAAATTTGCCTTATTCGGAACTTTCTGCACGATTCATAAGGCAACAAGAATGACCTTGAAAAAACTTATTGAGGATTATTAAATCGTCATTCTTAGATTCATACGTTTGAATTTGTTTATTAAAATTTACAGTCTTATCTATAGGTAAATCTTTTCACGAGACGATTTCCAATAAATTCTTGATACTATAATAACTTAAACTAGATTGTTCACGTTTTGTCTGTTATAAAAACAGTATTATAGAAGTAGTAAGTAAAGCTTGTAATAATAGATTGTCGAGTTTTAGCCGCGCGTTACGTGAGCTGGAACGCTTATCTATGACCTTAGGCTACCATTACACGAGTGAATTTACATTTTATCACTTTGTTACAAACGTTCTTTGTCCACAGGAATTGCTTAAAATAGCATCAGCTTAAGCTTTTACAATTAAAAAGTTTAAAAATGTATTTTAAGTTGCTATAAGGAACTAGTCCTTATAATACTTATTCTACTCTATGTGTTAGTAACTTAATATTATCTTATTAATATTATATTAAGTTAGTTAGTTTACGATATAAATGCGAATGTTTGAACGGATGGATGGATGGATGTTTGTTAGAAGGTTTATCCAAAATGGATCAATGCATCTATATTAACTTTGGCATGGATGTAGAATAGAAAAACTTGAATATTTAATAATTTCATCTTATGAAGGTAAAACCGATGTTGGAAATTTGGTCTAATCCTATTTACATAGAGCAAATGAAATTTCAAATAGCTTTATTCAAATGCAACGTTTATTTAAAGCAGAAGTATCGAGTTATTATTTGACTAAATGTTTGAGATTAGTCTGGATATATATTACGTAAGTTTTATACACTTAAATAGAAAACATGGAAAAGTAGAGATTAAAACAGTTACCGCCTATTTTTTTTTCATATATGAACGAAATTCTTCGAGCTCAATCGAATTAAAATCTATACTAATCTATATATATATAAAAGAAAGTCGTGTTAGTTACACTATTCATAACTCAAGAACGGCTTCACCGATATGGCTAAAAATTGGTGAGGAGGTAGCTTAGAGTCAGGAGAAGGACGTAGGATATTTATT